ACGGGGAGGAGGGCGCTGAGGGAAATGCAGACATGAAAGTAGACTGGAGATCATAACCAGATCAATCTCAATCTTAGTGAATAGTGGAACAGCTTCCAATGACGTAATTTTTTTTTAACATTAACTCACGGGAAATTGGGGACATTAGGGAGGAAGTTCCAGGATTTTGACCCAGAGACACTGAAGGATATATTTCCAAGTCAGGATGGTGAGTGGCTTGGAGGGGAACTTGCCGGGTGGTGTTCCCATGTGTCTGCTGCCTTTGTCCTTCTAGATGGAAGTGGTTGTGGGTTTGGAAGGTGCTCTCTGATGAGCCTTGGTGAATACTCATGTACCTCAGCCCTATGTTCCCATGTAATGCCTCATGCACTAGACTAGTTTCCCCCCTCATATTGACCCATATCATTTGCCTTAACCACTTCCTGTGGTAGCTAGTTCCACATTCCCACCACTCTCTGGATGAAAGTATTTCTCCTGAAAGCCCCATTTGGATTTATTAGTGACTTTCTTAGATTTATAGTGCATCCAGAAAATTTAAAACCGTTACGGACTCTTCCAGTGACGGTACAACTGGTGGTGTATCTGCCAGTGGGAGGTGGGTCAATGCATCCACATTTGCTACTCAGCCTCCTGGCTGGTGCTCCAACTTGTGTTTATGCGCACTTAGTATTAGAGCCCATTGCTGAATTCAGCCTGAAGCTATGGGAGCCACTGCCTTGTTCTCTTTAAGCAGAACTAGCAGGAGTTTGTAGTCTTTTATTATTACAAATTTATGTCTGTAAATGTATTAGTGGAACTTTTTGACTCCAATTATGACGACCAAGACTTCTTTCTCTATCTGGGCATATTCACGCTCTGCATTAGCCAAAGTTCCTGGATACATACTCTATTGGGAGTTCCTCTCCATTGGGCCATCTATGAGCTAATACTACCCTGATGCCGTACAGAGAAGCATTGCATGTCAATATCAGATCTTATTTGGGCTCATAGTGTGAGGATGGGAGCTGTTTCTGCATTTCCCTGAAGGCTATGGCTTGCTACATGACCATTTCCAAGGATGACACTTTTTAAGACTTGAAGGTGCCAGCACGGAGACCAGGTTACGTATGAATTTTCTGTAATAGTTCACCAGCCCAAGGGAAGACCTGAGCTCCAATACAATTGTGGGAGCTGGGCCACCTTTGATCGCCCTCACTTTATCTTCCAACTGGTGTAACTTGGTCTTGTCCACTATGTAGCCCAAGCAGGTCACTACGGATGCCTGAAAAACACATTTTTTTTCCTTCTAAAGCATACACCACCTTGGCGAAACATTTAGGAACTATGTCCAAGTTCTCTAAGTGCTCCTTATTGTTCTTCCCAGTTATTAGAATGTCATCCAGATAATAGGCAAACTGGGGTAGACCTTGTAAAATGTTCTTCATCATCCGCTGGAAAATGGCACAGGCTGATTATCATCAGGCAGGTTTGTATACTGGTACAAACCCTTATGGGTATTAATTGTAGCATTCTGCTGGGAATCCTCATCTAGTCACAACTGCAGGTACGCATGGCTCATGTCCAGCTTTGTGAGGACAGCCCCCCTGGCAACTTTGCATGCATATCCTCTATATGAGGGATTGGGTATTTATCCAGTTGTGAAAAGCAGTTTACAATTTGTTTAAAATCCCCATAAAAGGGAACCAATCCTTCAGGCTTCATAATCGGAACGATTGGTGCTGCCCATTCTACAAATTGCACTGGTTTGATGATTCCATTGCTTTCCAGCCTCCTGATTTCTGCCTCTACTTTTGCCTATAAGGCATATGGCACTGGGTAGGCCTTGCAGAATCATGGAATTGCTTCCTGGTCAACATGTAAGTTAGACTTGGCCCCTGTGATAGCCCCTAGGCCTTCCCGAAAAACACTCAGATATTTAATTAGGACTTCACTGAGGCAGCCATTTTCTAATCGCTGTAAGTCTTTCTCAACTAATATCCTCCCGTCAACCTTGGGTCCAAGCCTTTTATTACAACTAGTGGTAACTGAACCAGGTCCTTCTCATAAGGGACCAGAACTGAAGTTGTCCCCTTAATCTGTTGGGGCCCCCCGGTATAGGTTCTCAGTCTGGCCAAGGTCTTGTACAAACTTAAGGGTTGGAGTCCAGAGTGAACCTTGTTAAAGACAGGTTCTGCAATCACTGATAGAGTCGCGCTGATATCGACCTCCTTTAGAACCGGGTGACCATTTAACCAGATGTTTATTTTGGTTGGTTCTGATTTGGATGTTGCTAAGCAATTTAACAGTTTCGAGCCAGCTGTAGGTGGACTTTCCAGGGTGGGCACTCTCCTGGATACCAGCGTATGAGTTTCCTACTCCATTTAGGTCTAATGGGACTCCTTTGCTGTCTCGAGTCCACATACCAGCAGCAACTACAATGGCCTGCTGGGATCCTGAAGAAAATGTTTACCATTTGGCTGAGGCTTGGCTTTGTTTTGGGGTTTTGCTGTGGGCTGACCTCAAGTCCCTCTGTTCAGGGTATGTCCTGAGGAAGGCTATGCAATTGCCTTTACTCAAATGGTGTTTCCCAAGTTCACTCAGCCTGGGGAGGGTGTCCACTTCCATCGGCAAACCCTATAACTCATCAGTTCCACTTGCCATGTTTTCCAATGACAGGGCCAGTTGTAGTGACTGTTTGACATCCAGTTGGGCTTCAGCTAGTAGGCACTTTTGCATGGTCACAACATTAATCCCACTCTCGTCGCCACTGAAATAACTCCACAGAGGCGTCTGTGGAGTCACCAAGTCCACCCTTCATTTACACGTGGAGAGTCCTTGACACTAATCCAGCTTCCTCAGAGCCAGCTCTCAGAGGGAACAGAACCTTTGACAGCCAGGGATCCCTGTTTGGACCAGATTAACAGCCCCAATCAGGGAACTCATATTCTATGAGGGCCACCTGGCTTACCTCATTACAATCAGTTCGGGGTTGACCAAGGAGACAGCTCCTGAATGCAGCCCTGTTGGAATGGGGATTGAGCCCCTGTTTTGTTGACACACAGCGGGGCCCTTTGGCCAAGTTGCTGTGGCAATGTGCCGCTTGTTACCTGCAGGTTGTAGCCCAGAATTAGGGAGAGTGATGGTAAAAGCTCCTCAATGCTCTTTCCATCATTGCAGCTGATCAGGAACAACTCCCACACTTCAGCGTCTGCCATTGGCGTGTATCACTATGATTTACATCCCATTTCATGTGCTACGAACACACCTTCCTTGACCAATGTGTCCTGGAAAAGGACTCGAACCCAGAGATTCTGGCCCGGGAGAGGGACAATAGCCACTGAGGCACAAGATGTCGAAAACATTGAAATATAGAAAATAGGTGCATGAGTAGGCCATTCGGCCCTTCGAGCTCAGGCCACCATTCAATATGATCATGGCTGATCATGCAATTTGAGTATCACATTCCTGCTTTCTCTCCGTACCCCTTGATCTCTTTAGCCGCAAGGGCCATGTCCCACTACCTCTTGGATATATGTAACAGACTGGCCCCAGCAGCTTTCTGTGGGAGAGAATTCCACAGGTTCACAACTCTCTGACTGAAGACATTCTTTCTCGTCTCAGTCCTGAATGGCTTACCTCTTATTCTTAGATTGTGACCACTAGTCCTGGTCTTTCCCAATACCGGGAACATTCTTCCCGTATCTAGCCTGTCCAGTCCCATCAGGATTTTACATGTTTCTATGAGATACCCCCCCTCATTTTTCTAAATTCCAGTGAGTACAAGTCTAGTGAATCCAGCCTTTCATATGTAAGTCCTGCCATCCCGGGAATCAATCTAGTGAACCTTTGTTGGACTCCCTCGACAGCAAGAATGACCATCCTCAGACTAGGAGACCAAGCCTGTACACAATCCTCAAGGACCAAGGCCCTGTAAAACTGCAGCAAAAGACCTTCAAACCATTATGATCAGTTGGAATTTTGGCAGGGTAGATTTGGAGAGATACCTTCCCCTTGTGGGAGCATCTAGGACCAGAAGGTACAATCTCAGAGTAAGGGGTCACCTGTTTAAGACAGGGTTGAGGAGGAATTTCTTCTCTCAATGGGAAGTGAATCTTTACTGCAGAGATTTGTAGAGGTTGAGCCTGTAAGTATATTCAAGGCTGAGATAGACAGATTCTTAGCCAGTGAAGGAATTGAGGGAAAGGCAGCCAAGTAGAGTTGAGGATTGTCAGACCAGCCATGATCTTGTTGAAATGGAGAGCAGGGTTGCTGGGCCAAATGGCCTACTTCAGCTCTTACATCTTTTACCCAACCTAACATTTATTCGTGGAAAACCTTTGGTTCATTTGCTCCCAAATCCAACTTTCTGCTCTCTGTTTGGTTGCCCATGTTGCCATTCATCACCCTGATTCCATTAGAGTCTCTTGGTCAATGTTTGAGTGACCCTTTGATATTAGTTGTAACTTGTTCGTCTATACATTCTTTTACAGGCGATATGAACGTCACTGACTGGGGCCAGCATTTGTTTCCCATCTCTAGTCGCCCTGGAATTGAATGTCTTGCTGGGTGATTTCAGGGGGGAGTTAATTGCTGTGGGTCTGGAGTCACATGTAGGCTAGACCAGGTAAGGATGGCAGATTGCCTTCTGTAAAGGACATTGAGTAGAACTGGGCAGTGTCCAGAGTAACCATTTGTTGAATGCAGGTATGACAAGAGGCAGGTTCACTAATGTCCTTTAGGGAGGGAAACTGCCATCCTTACCTGGTCTGGCCTACATGTGACTCCAGACCCACAACAATGTGGTTGACTCTTAACTGCCCTCTGGGCAATTAGGGATGGGCAATAAATGCTTCCAGCCAGCAACGCCCTCATTCCATTAACGAATAAAGAAAAGGGTTATGTTGTATTTATACAGTTCTCGCTCAGTAACTGAACCCATATTACCCTGGCTGACAAGGTCATTGTTGCACATTGTAATCTCTTGCTCTTTCACCCCCAAACCCCCCAGTCGCACACCTCACCTTCAGGTCTACGAGGTTCATTTGCTCATCACGCCCTGCATTTTCTTTTGCTTGTTTTTCCAGGAATTCCAAGGCTTGCTGGAGCTTTTCCTGAAACACACAAAGCCAACAAGATTGAAAAGGGGAGGAGCGTTACCTGAGGATGTGCAGTGATCGAATCATAAAGTCATTCATAGAGTCATATAGCACAGAAACAGACCCTTCGATCCAACCAGTCCATGCTGAACATAATCCCAAACTAAACTAGTCCCACCTGCCTACTCCTGGCCCATATCCCTCCAAACCCTTCCTATTCATGTACTTATCCAAATGTCTTTTGAATATTGTAACTGTACCCACATCCGCCACTTCCTCAGGAAGTTCATTCCAAACACAAACTATCCTCCGTGTAAAAAAATTGCCCCTGTCTTTTCTAAGTCTCTCACCCCACACTTAAAAATATGCCCCCTAGTCTTGAAATCTCACATCTTATGGAAAAGACACCTACAATTAGCCCCATCTATACCCCTCATTATTTTATAAACTTATATAAGATCCCCTAACATCCTACTATGCTCCAGTGAAAAAAGTCCCAGCCTATCCAGTCTTTCTTTATAACTCAAACCTTCCATACCGGCAACATCCTGGTAAATCTCTTCTGAACCCTTCCCAGTTTGATAATATCCTTCCTGTAACCAGGTGACCAGAACTGGACTCAGTGGGTACCCACAACTGTTTCAAGCCAGGTCAAAGGTGGAATCTTGGAAATCCAATGCAGGAAGAGGAACTTGTTGTTCTAGCCATTCTCTGAAACATTAGGGAACAAGGATTTGCATTCATAAAGAAACATTCACATTTCTTGGATTTCCCAAAATACTTTATAGCTAGTCATGTTCCTTGGAAGTAACATTTGCGCCAGATGATGACAATCTTCACAAAGTTGCCCTTGTCATCCAATGGCATCACTATCCCTGAACCTTCCACTATCCACATCCGAGGGGACTTGCAATTGATCAGAAATTGACCTGGATTTTGAACTCATGGCCCTGAAGGAATGGCAATGTATTTCCAATTCTGGACGGTGAGTAGTTTGGAGAGGAGCTTGTTGATGATACAGTCCCCATGCATCTGTTTCCCGTGTCCATCTAGAGGTCACAGGTTTGGAGGTAAGGGAGGAAGGAGCCTTGAGGAATTACTGCATTGGATCTCCACATAATGTATGCATTGTTGGAAATGGTAGGTACACATGCAGGAGGGGATTGTTAGACTGAGTCTTTTCTGTCTTGGGGAGGTGATAGTCTAATGTATTATTGGTATCTATTAATCCAGAAACACAACAAATGTTCTAGGGACCTGGGTTTGAATCCTGCCCTGGCAGATGGTGGAATTTGAATTCAATTTTTAAAACCAAGCCTGAAATTAAGCGTCTACTGATAACCATGAAACCATTGTCAATTGTTGGGGAGAAGCCCATCTGACTCATTCATGTCCTTCAGGGAAGGATATCGGCCATTCTCATCTGTTTTGGCCTACATGTGACTCTACCAATGTGGTTGACACTCAACTGCCCTCTGAAATGGCCAAGCATGCTAAATGGGAAGCCAGTTCAATGGCAGATGGAGACAGGCAATAAATGCTGGCCAGCCAGTGACGCCCAGGACTCACAAGTGAATTAAAAGAAGTAAAGGAGGACAAGGGTGACTGAGATATTTAAAATTATAAAAGATTTCAATAGAATGTATGCAAAGACAATATTCCTCCTGTCTGGAACTGCACAACTAGAGGCTTTAAATATAGAATAGTCACCAACAGACTTTACAAAATATGGGTTACACTAGCTAAGGGAATGGAGAAATAGAGGGACCAGGGTATGTAGATGACAGATCACTGAAGGTGGTCAGGCATGAGGAGTTAAAAAAGCATGCAGCATCCTGGCCTGTAACAATAAGATGATAAGAGTACAAGAACAAGGGGATGATATTGAACTCCTATAAGACCCTTGTTAGACCTCAGCTGGAGTATTGTACACATTTCTAGGTGCCACACTATTGGAAGGATGCTGACACACTGGAGGCAGCGCCAAAGTGATTGACAAAAATGATTCTAGGGATGAGAACCTATAGTTGTGGGGATAGATTGGAAAGGGAGGGAACGTTCTCTTTGAAGAAGAGATCTGATGGAAGTTTTCAAAATCCTGGAGGGTCTGGATAGAGTAGGTGGGGAATATCTGTTTCTGCTTGTGAAAGGGATCAAGAGTGGGAGGGCACAGATTTAAAGTGATTTGCAAAAGTAACATGTGCAACATGTGAAAAAACCTGCTTCACACAGTCAGTGGTTCGGGTCTGGAAGGAGGCAGCTTCCATTGGGCCATTGAAGAGGAATTGGATGGTCACTTCAATAGAAATATTGGAGATACAGCAGGAGAATCGGACTAAGCCAAATTGCTCATTGGAAATCTAACATAGACCACAATGGGCTGAATGGCCTCCTTCAGCACCATAACACTTATGGAATATGTATCGAAAGGTATTTTATTCTACAAATTATGTCATCGTCCGTGTGGGAATTTAGCAATGTAAAATAATTCAATGGACTCGCAATAGTGCTCCAGTGGATCTTTCCCCAGTGAGAAAGGACTCTATGTAACATATTAGCAGCTTTTTACAGAATCTCTACAGTGTGGAAGCAGGCCATCTGGCCCATTGGGTCCACACCGACCCTCAGAAGAGATCCCACCCAGCCCCACCTCATCTATCCCTTTAACCCTGCATTTCCCATGGCCAATCCTGCTAACCTGCACATTTTTAGACTGTGGGAGACTGTGCAAACTCCACACAGATCGAGGGTGGAATCAAACCTGGGTCCCTGGTACTGTGAGGCAGCAGTGCTGACCACTGAGCCACTGTGTCACTTTTATAGTGGTTCTAATTGGGAAATGTAATTCTCTTAAAGTTGTTTCACTTGAAGTCATTTCACTTCAAGTCCCACTCTTCAGGAACTATATGGTGTATTTAAGTGAGGACTTACTGCCTGGAATTCAGAGAAACCACTTTACTCTCAAAGAGTGGGGAGATTGTGAACCTCACTACCACAACAAGTGGGTAAAGTGAACTATTGAAATGTATTTAACTGAAAACTAAACAAGTAAAAGGGAACAAGAAACAATGGGTAAGGCTGGTAGACTTAGGAGTTTGGGACAGCATGGAGCAAATGGCCTGCCTCTGAGCCTTAGATCTCCCATGTACTTCCATGTAAAATTCCTGCCTTTCTGACTACAGACCCATTGCTGCGCTGATGTTAACACAATATTGATGATGCACTGATGAATTCATGGACAATTAGGGACTGAGGTGCACACAAGATTCTCAAAGAACAAAGAACAATACAGCACAGGAACAGGCCCTTCAGTCCCCCCAAGCCTAGACTGACACATTTTGCCTTTCAATATTAAAACTGTTTTCACTTACAGGATCTGTATCCCTCTATTCCCTTCCTATTTATGTATTCATCCAGGTGCTTCTTGATTGCTGCTATTGTGTTTTCTTCCACCACTTCCTCTGGCTACGTGTTCCAGGCACTCACATCCTTTGTGTGAAAAACGTGCCTCACACATCTCTTTTAAACTTGCCCCCTTGCACCTTGAATCTGTGTCCCCCATACCAGGTAACATCCTGCTAACTCTTTTCTGTACCCTCCCCAAAGCATCCACATCCTTCTGGTAGTATGGTGACCAGAACTGTACACAATATTTCAAGTGTGGCCGAACTAAAGTTTTATAAAGCTGCAGCATAACTTATCTATACTTATACTCAATGCCCCTTCCAATGAGGACAAGCATGCCATTGGCCTTTTTTACTACCTGATCTACCTGTACTGCCATCTTCAGTGATTTGTGGACATGCACACTCAGATCCTTCTGCATATCAATACTCCTAAGGGTTCTGCCATTCACTGTATAATTTCCACCTGTACTTGACTTTCCAAAATGCATCACCTCACATTTGTCTGGATTAAACTCCATCTGCCATTTTTCTGCCCATGCCTCCAACTGGTCTATCTCCTGCCATGTCGTCTGACAATCCTTCTCACTATCCTCAATTCCACCAATCTTTGTGTTGTCTGAAAACTTACTAATTAGACCATTACATTTTCCTTCAAATCATTTATGTCGACCGCAAACAGCAGAGGTCCCAGCACTGATCTAGTTACAGACCTCCATTCCAAAAAGCATCCTTCCACCACTATCCTCTGTCTCCTATGACTAAGCCAGTTCTGTATCCATCTTGCCAGCTAATCCTCATACCACGTGACTTCACCTTTTGTACCAGTCTGCCATGAGGGACCTCGTCAAAGGCTTTTTTGAAGTCCGTGTATAAAATATCAACCACTTTACCCTCATCAATCATCTTCGTCACCTCCTCAAAAAACTCGATCAACTTAGTGAGGAATGACCTCCCCTGCACAAAACCACGCTGTTTATCGCTAATCAATCCATTTGCTTCTAAATGCGTACGGATCTTGTCCCTGAGAAATTTTTCCACTCATTTCCCTACCAGTGGCGTGAGCCTCGCAGGCCGTAATTTCCAGGATTATCCCTGCTACCCTTCTTAAACAATACATCAGCTATTCCCCAGTCCTCTGGGACATCACCTGTGGCCAAAGAGGATACAAAAATTTCTGTCAATGCTCCAGCAATTTGTTCTCTTGCCTCCCTCAATATTCTAGGATAGATACCGTCAGGACCTGGGGACTTGTCTACCTTAATACTTTTTAAGACGCTCAACGCCTCTTCCTTTTTAATAGTAACTTAGCTTAGAAACCCAACACTTCCTTCCCTCAGATCATCCTCCACCAATTCCTTCATCCATACCGACACAAAGTATTCGTTTAGCACCTCACCTACCTCTTCTGACTTCACATATAGATTCCCTCCTTTGTCCTTGAGTGGGCCAACTCTTTCCCTGATTACCCTCTTGTTTTTATTTTATATAAGTATAAAAAGCCTTGGGATTCTACTTAATCCTGTTTGCTCACAACTTTTCATGACCCCTTTTAGCCCTTCTAATTTCTCGTTTAAGTTCTTTCCTACTCTCTTTATATACTTCAAGGGCTTTGTCAATTCCGATCCTCCTCGACTTTATATATGCTTCCTTTTTCTTTTTGACCAAGGTCATAACATCCCTGGTCATCCAAGGTTAAACTTGCCATACCGACCCTTCATTCTCGCAGGAATGTGCCTCTCCTGAACTCTTATCAAGCTGCCATTTGAAATACTCCCACATATCCGATGTAGATTTACCCTCAAACAGCCACCTCCAATCAACAGTCTCCCTGTCTGAGGAGGGAGAGATCAGAGTTTGAGAATTATTGGAATTTCTGGAGAGTCCCAATCTCAGGGAGGGGTGGCGAAAGCATGGATGCGAGTCAAAATTTTGCTATATTTGTCAGGAATGGGGTGTAGTTAAAAGAGAGAACGTGTGTGGACAGAACTGTTGGACTGCTTGGAATAGAATCTGTTTCATTCAGTTTTAGCAGCTGCTTTGTAATGGATTCTAATGGAAATGGTGAGTAGTCTACATCCTCAACCAGATGTAGATAAGCAGATACTCTGCAAGTAGCAGTCATTATAGTCTCAGCCGACAATAGGAGCTGCTGTCTTCATTAGAAGATGACAACTGGTAATGAGTTTAACCTAAGGGTCACCCCTTGTTTGAGATGTCCTGAGGTCAAGAAGGTGGGACCTTTCTGTTGATTTCAGCTGATGTGGGGATTGAACCCATACCACTGGCACTGTCTTACGTCACAAAAGAGCTAACTGAATGAGCAGTGGGAAAGTGGGACTGTGCAAAGTGGAAAAATTGTAGGAAAAAACAAACCCCGTTCTCACAACAGGTCTGCGTCAGAGTTTTCAACACTCCTATCCCTCTACATCTCATCCCTTCTGTCTTATTTCCTTCATTCATTTATACCCTCATGTGAGAGACCCACCTCCCCTGACATCTAACCATGTGCCTCTTCCCTCAACCCCACTCCTTGCACTAGTCGGTTCCATTCCCTGGATAAAGAAGACTCTCCTGTGTTTCCTGTTGGATTAATTGGTGACTACCTTATAATAACGGCTCTCACTCCCACCCACCTGGCTCTGGAATCCTCCCCCCTTCCCAAAAGCTGACACATTTCCTCTGTTCACCAGCAGGGATCCGATGGGCCGATTGGCTTCTTTCTATGTCTCCACGACTCTGTGAACCCCTGAGCACAGGATATCTGGAAGCTTTGCTTTCATAGAGTCATGAGGCACTGGCCCTTCGGCCCATTGAGTTTGCGCCAACTCATCAACACCAATTCCACTTTCCAGTACATGGCCCATGGCCTTGAATGTTATGATGCCATAAGTTCTCTTCCACATTCTGTTTAAAGTTTTCTGCCCTCGACAACTCTTCTAGGCAGTGCATTGCAGATTATTTTGATAATGCAGTATCTTACAACAAGCACAAAAGGCAAAAACAGGTTGGCCTCATGTCCGTTGCTGTGACTGCAGAGTTACACTGTTTCAAACCACAGATATAAGCTGCAGGAATTACTCAGCAATGTTAGCGTCACAAAGCCTGTCTCTTTCAAATCAACGTGGAGTTAATACCTGCTGCTGAAAATGTCACCAGAATGATACAAATGTTAAATGTCTGTCTGTAACCTTGCTGAGTAACTTCCTGGCTATTTCTATAAATGTGAAAAGGCTTCATTATTGTATCCACTGGGGGCAACAATTGTAAAACGCAAACAGATCTGGCTACTGCAGACAATGTTTTGAACACTTTTGCGATTTACAGCATCAGTGTCCTGGGTGCCTGAAGTTGTTCAGAAATTGAACTGGATTCGCCATAGAAATATACCAGCTTCAAGAGCAGGTCAGAGGCTAAGAGTCCTGCAGCGTGTAACTCACCTCTCGTCTGCCTAAAGCCTGTCTACTGTCTGCAAGGCACAAGTTTGCCTTCTGTAGGCTGGGAGGGGGCATTGGTGGTGGGAACAGAAAGTCAATAACATCATTCTGATAAAAGAGAAGAGGAGGTATTCCCGATGGCTGGGACAATATTTATCCTTCAATTAACGTCAGAAGAGCACTGATTAGGTGGTCATTATCACTTTGCAGTTTTGGGTTTGCTTTGGAAATCTCCACCAAGTCGGAGGTGTCATGGATTCTCCGTCATTCAATAGATATAAGACTGGGATAGACACTGCTTTGGTCACTGGTGAAGCAATGGACAAAGGGAGCAGATAGGAATCTGGAGTGGAAACCCACAATTAGACCTGATCCTGTCTGCGGAATGAGAAATTCATCGAGCGCCATTCTCCCTCCTCACTATCAAACTGCACATTCTTCCTTTCTTTTCGGGCTATGGTCTAAATCTTCTTTGGATGCCTTGATTGATCCTGCTTCCACCACACTCTCAAGGGAGAGAGATTCCCAAATCCAGCCGCAAACTGTGTGAAAAAGCTTTGCTTCTGCTCGTACTTACGTAGAACAGTGCAGGATAGGAACAGGTTCTTTGGCCCACCCTGACGGTGCTGACCACAATGCTATTCTACACAAATCCCATTTGCCTGCACATGGTCCATGCCCTTCTATTCCTTGCCTGTTTATGCATCTGCGCAAATAACATTGTAACTGTATCTGCTTCTACCACCTCCCCATCAGTGTGTTCCAGGCACCTAGCACCCACCGTGTTAAAACCATGCCTCGTACATCTCCTTTAAACTTTCCCCCATCTCACCTTAAACCTGCGACCCCTAGTATTTGGTATTTCAACCCTGGGAAAATTATTCTGACTATTCACCTTATCCATGCTTCTCATACACTGTATATACTTCTATCAGGTCACCCCCTATTAGCCTATAGAGAAAACATCTTGTGCTCTAGCCACCATCTCCCTCTCAACATTATTAAACCCATCATATTCCACTCAGAATCTTAACTCTACCCCTCTGTAAGACCTGCTGAGTACTGCCTTGAGCCACTATCACCCACACCCTGCAGCCGGGCCAAACAAAAAACACTTTCTCTTTTTATTTCAAGTTTCTACACTTTTAATTTTGAGGGGAGTGCATAAAATGGGTCAGAGAAGATTGGCGTCTGATCTGCAAGTTACCCTATTTTCACTTCATGCAATCCAAAGTTCCCCCAAAACAAAGAGCAGAAATTGTGGCCTCTCTGGACCAGAAGTTCCACGTTCGAGTCCCACTCCAAGACATAACTCGGGGAAAGTAATTCCTTGGATGAGTTATAAAGAGATGCTGGACAGGCTAAGGTTGTTTTCTCTGGAGCAGCAGAGGCTAAGGGGAGACCTGACAGAAGTTTATAAAATTGTGAGAGACATAGATAGGTTAGACGGTCAGAATCTTTTTCCCAGAGCTCAAATGAGTAATACGAGAGGGCATGCATTTAAGGTGAGAGGGAAAAAGTTTTTTACACAGTGATTGGTAGATGTCTAGAATGCGCTGACAGGGGTGGTGGTGGAGGCAGATACAATAGACGTGTTTATGGAGCTTTCAGATAAGGACATGAATAGCAAGGAATGGAAGATATGGAACAAAGGCAGGCAGGAAGGATTAGTTTAACTTGGTGTCATGTTCAGTACATCATCGAAGGGCCTGTTCCTGTGTTGTACTGCTGTATGTTCATTCTGATAGGCTTTTGGCTGCTTAGTCAGAGCCAGAGAGACTCATGGTCAGTTCGATGTGGAGTTGTGCCCTTTCAAGGATTAGTCTCTGGCACAGAGGGTAAGGAATCAGCCTGAAATTTACCTGGTGTGAGCTGCAGTATTGAACTCACAACACTGGGAATATTGATGAGGCCCATCTGAAATCCGGTGGAAAATCCCAGTTCCTGATCTATTATAGATGGGAAAAGAGGGATACGAATCTTGTAAGTGAAGATAGCTTTAGTATGGAAGGGCACAATATGGTGGCGCAGGCATGGAGGGCCAAAGGGCCTGCTCATGTGCTGTATTGTTCTTTGTTCTTTGGTACTGGCACTTTTCAGACACTGCCCCCCACCGCACCCCCCTCTCCCCACCACCCCTACCCCCAACACCCGCGACTCAACTTTGCACTGAATTTTCCTCAGGATTGCACGTGAAATTTCATTTCATTGGCACCCATTTCTACTTCTCAGTGCACAATAATGCAAGAAGTCCAGAAATCACCATTTCCTGGAGATTTGCAAGTGTTGTTGGCTCCGTCTTGTCCCTTGAGAATAAATTATTAAATACCATGCAGCCAATAAAAGGATAGAAAGATGATTTCTGTGCTTTCTTGGTTTGGTTATTATTTGCTGGGATTGGACTGACATGGGGTATTTTGTAAATTTCTCTGGGCTGCTCCGTAAAGAACCAGCCGTGGATACAGGCAGAAGTGGGTCCTTCAAAAGCCTCATGTGCCTCTCAGTATAGGAGGAGAGAAATGAAGGAAGGAGTGTAAGAGCTAGGTGTAGGATTAGGCCATTTGGCCCCTCAAGGCTGCGCTGCCCTTCCACAAAATCATGGCTAATTCATCTCTTCTGTCGTAGCCCTCAACCTCAATATTGCAAAACCTACCCACTTCCTCTTTGATGTGATCTGGCCTCCACAACTCTCTTGGGTATAGAATTCAAAAGCCCTCACTGTTCTCAGAGAGAAGAAATTCCTTCACATCCTGGTTTCAAATGAATGTTCCCTTATTCTATTGCTACGTTCCCTTGTACAAGACTCTTCTCAGTAGCAGAAACACCTTCCCAACATTTACCCTGCCATGGGTCCCCTCAGAATCTTGAATGTTTCAATAAGATCATCCCTCATTCTTCTCATCCACCTGTTCAGAGATCGAATAACACACCTCCAGAGCAGGTGGGCCTTGAACCCAGGCCTTCAGCATTAGAGGCAGGGACACTACCACAAAGCCCTCTCCCCCTCATTCAAGCAAACTCTAATGAATAAATGCCTTCATGCCAGGAGCTGGCTTAGTGAGTTGCTTTTGAACAGCTTCCAATGCCAATGAATCCTTTCTTAAAAGTGGGGACTGAAACTGTACACGATTCTCTGGGTGCAGCCTCACCAAGCTCCCCTTGGTGATGATGGGCAAACTACGCCCCCTGCAGGGAACAGTCGGTGGTCTTACCTTAAAGCGCTCGGCGGCCTCCTTGATGGGGATGGTGCGGCAGTTTGGGTGCTCTTTGGCCGTCTTGTCACACATCAGCTGCATGTCATCCAGGCAGAAGACGGTGTAGGGCAGGTTGTGCTTCTCGCAGAAGTTGCTTTCAGACGGGCTTAGCTCCAGGATCTTCTTGAGGGTCTCGACCAACTTGGCAGCCAACTCATTGTCCACGATGTCGATGGGAGAGCAGTCATTCGAGCAGGTCGGACAGGTCACCTTGCCATCCTTGGTGACGACCAGCTTGGCCACGCACTCCTTGCAGGATGTATGGCCGCAGCCCATGGTCACTGGGTCCTTGAAGAGGAGGCCGCACAGGGCGCAGGTGACCTGCTCCTTCAGCTTGTTTACCTCCTCTTCGCAAGCCATCTCACCAGGTTTCCTTCACCGCTGGCTCAGCCTCTCTCTCTGTCTGCCTCTGTTCACCAAGGCCTCTTCCAGCCGGCTGGAGGGAGTGACTGACTGAGGGACGACAGAGGGAGAAGGAGGGGGAATAGATCCTACGTGCAGCCCTTACTCCGAGTGCAGCACTCCATCAGAGATAGCTGTCTGTTAAAGATTGCCTGAGCCTCTGCCAATCCCAGCCAAGTGCTTTCAAAGGCAGCCTGTCCAATAGCCATCTCTTGCCGGTGGAAACATTGTTTCATCTCAGAAAGTTTTGTTTTCAGTTTCCAATAGAATCTGAACAATGTGCCTTTGTTTTTATTTTCCAGTTCCTTGCTTCAGCATTTTTTTTTTCTTGCAGACAGACCTGGAGGCAGGGACTGCTTTGTGCTTTTTTTCTGCCTTTTTGTTGTCCCTGGCTTGTATAGGATTCCTGCTGCGACAAAACGCGATGCGTTTTATACTGGTCCTTCTTTATTTGATTTGATTTGATTTACTGTCACGTGTATTTATTACAAGTACAGTGAAAAGTGTTGCTTATTGTCGTCACAGATTTTGAGTCCTTGCTGTTAGCGAAGCCTGCTTTCTACAATCATGGTTATCAGGTGTTGTGAGGAATCGAACTGTACCTAGAGGCTCAACTGGACAGATGAAATATCCAAATCACTATCATTAAATCCAGTTAGCACAGAGGAGGATACTACTGAGATCCTTTTAAGCCCTTTCTTAAGATTTTAAGTGGTTTAGGCAAACCCACTGCAGTGATTGAAACAAGGTCAGCCAGGTAGATCCATGGAATATGAGCTCCCTGTTTGGGGCTGTTAATCTGGTCCAATCAGGGAGCCCTGGCTGACAAAGATAAACAGGAGTGTCAGAAGTTTTGTTCACTCTGAGAGCTGGCTCTGAGGGAGCTGGATCAGTGTCAAGTACTGTGCACATACAAATATAGGGTGTCTTGGTGATGGGATACCGGCCTTTGTGGAGTTATTTTGTTCGTGATGAGAGTGGGATTAATGATATAACAATACAAAAGATCTACTAGCTGAAGGCCAACTGAACTTCAAACAGGCATGACAACTTGCTTTGTCATTAGAAAATGCAGCAAGTGGAACATATGAATTACAGGACATGCCAATGGAAGTGGACCACCTTGCCAGGCTGAATGAGCTTGGGAGACACCATTTGAGTGAAGGCCATTACGTAGCCTCACTCAGGACATATCCTGAACAGTGGGACTCTAGGTCAACTCACAGCAAAGCCAAGCCTCAGCCAAATGGTTAACATTTTGTTCAGGATCTGTGCTGGCAGGCCATTGTAGTTGCTGCCGGTATGCAGACTTGAGGCAGCAAAGGAGCCCCACTAGGCCTGAATTGAGTAAGGGAACTCATAGGCCGGTATCCAGGAGAGTGCACGCCCTGGAAAGCCCACCTACATCTAGCTTGGAACAGATAACATCCAAATCAGAACCAGCCAAAATAAACATCTGGTTAAATGGTCATCCAGTTCTAATGGAGGTTGATACTATAGCAATTGTATCAGTATTTGCAGAACCAGTCTTTAACAAGATTCTCTCTGGAGTCCAACCCTTAAGTTGGCATAAGACCTTGGCTAGACTGACAACCTTTACCAGGGAACCTTTACACATTAAGGGTATGACTTCCATTCTGGTCTCGTGGGAGAAGCAACTGATGCAGCTACTACTCATTGTAGTAAAAGGCTCCGAGACTGAGAGGATGTTTTCTATTGTGGGAGAGACTCAAATGAGGTCTTAGCAGTTAATACAAGGGGTCTCCCATTTAGGATGAAAGTTTTTATTCTCTCCAAGGTTGGTGAAGAGTAGGAAGTGACCTGATGAAAAACATATAAAATCCTGAGTAGTCTTGACTGGTTTGATTTAAATTGATTTGAGTTGGTTTGTTATTGTCACATGTACCTAGGTACAGTGAAAAGTTTTGTTTTGTGTTTAATACAGGCAGACCATACCGTACAAAGTGCATTAGGGTAATAGAACAGAGCCAGGAGTACAATTTCACGGCTGCAGAGAAGGTGCACAAAGAACAAGATCAACATTAAGTTTAAAATTTATTCTATTCAGAAGTCTAATAACAATGGGGAGGAAACTATCCTTAAATCTAAAAACTGAAAGAACTACAGATGCTGTAAATCAGGAACAAAACAAAGCTACTGGAAAAGCTCAGCAGGTCTGGCAGCATCTGTGAAGGAGAAAACAGAGTTAACGTTTCAGGTCTGGTGACCCCTAAAGTTCTGAGGAAGGGTCACCGGACCCGAAATGTTAACTCTGTGTTTTTTCTTCACAGATGCTGCCAGATCTGCTGAGTTTTTCCAGCAACTTTGTTTTTGTTCCTGTTCTTGAATCTGTTGTGTATAAGCTTTTGTATCTTCTACCTGATAGAAGAGGTTGGAAGAGATTATAACGGGGGTGGGAGGGCTCTCTGATGATGTTGGCTGCCTTCCTGAGGCAGCGAGAAGTATAGATGGAGTCAATGGATGGAAGGTTGGTTTGTGTGATGGACTGGGCTGTGTTCACAACTCTTTGTAGTTTTTTACAGTCCTGAGCAGAGCAGTTGCCGTACCAAGCTCTGATGCATCCAGATAAGATGCTTTCTATGGTACATCTATAGAAACTGGTAAAAATCTTTATTGGCATGCCGAACTTCCTTAGCCTTCTGAGGAACTAGAGGTGTTGTTGTGCTTCTTGACCCTAGTGTCAACATGGATATGGAGAGGATGTTTCCTCTTGTGGTTGAATCTAAAACAAGGGTTCACTGTTTTAAAATGAGGAGTCACCTATTTAAGAAACAGATGAGACAAAATTATTGCTCACAAAGGGTTGTGAGTCTTTCAAGCTCTCTTCCTCAAAAGGAATTGGAAGCAGAGTCTTTGAACAGTTTCAAGACAGAAGTAAATAGAGTCTTGATAACACAAGGGGGTGAAAGATTATTTGGTGCTAGTGGAAATGTCCAGCAATCAGATTAGCTATCAATCAGGCTACTGCTGCTCCTAATTTGTGTGTTTGTATGTAAGACTGTGTGATGCTTCCCCAGAAAATGGTGGAATATTTTTAAGGCAGAGACAGATTGATTCTTGACCTAAGGGGGAGTCAAAGGGCATCAGAGATGGTCAGGAAATGGAGTCAAGGCCAGAATCAGTTCAGCCATGATTTTATCAAATGGTGAAGCAGGCCAAATGGCCCACTCCTGCTCCATCTGCAGTGATAGCATTCCATCTGTGCCTTTTCAGTTGTATGGTGCAGGGTAAAGATCGATAAGGAGTGGTCAGCAAAACACTCAGATAAAAGAAAACAATCAAGATAGATCAGATCTGGTGCTAAACAAAGTGGTAGTAACTTTGGGTTTGTATTTGAGAGGTCAGATCATTAGACACCAGAAATGCAAATGAGTTCCATGCTGACAAGAAGCCCATCTTGGAACATCTCGTATACACTTAGTGCAATAAGTCACAGTGTTCATCTACTAAACATCTGAAAAATGACATTTTGCTTATATTTAACTCCTTTTCTTTCAAATGAGCTTCCATTTTATGCAGTTGTAAATAAAGCCAATCTTGTCTTCAATGACAGAGCACTTATTTATTGAATGTTGTGCTCACTTACTATTCCGTCATTCCGAGCAACAATGTGAAGTCATTAGATGTGGAGTCCATGCAGATCAAAATGTAGATGCTTGGTTGACACCGCATTCACTACTTTCAACATTCACTCCTTTCAACATTCACTCCTTTCACCATAGACGCACTGTGGCATCAGTGTGTGTTGTTGATAAGATCAAGCCATAGAGGTCTACAGAATGGAAATACGCCCTTCAGCCTAACTTGTCCATGCCGTCTAGTTTTCACAATTAAACTAGTCCCAGTTGCTTGCGTTTGGTCCATAAACCCAAGCCTATCCCATTCATGTACCTGTCTAAATGTTTCTTAAATGACAACAATGTATTAGGTCCATGACCACCTCTGGCAGCCCACTCCAGACAATCATCACACTCTGAGTGAAAATGCTGACCCTCTGGACCTTTCTGTATGACTCTCCTCTAACCTTAAACCTATACCGTCTAGTTTTAGACTCCCCTACCATGGGGAAAACTATTGTCTATCTACCTTATTTATGCCTCTCATGATTTTATAGACCTCTATAAGGTCACCCCTCAGTCTCCTCTGCTCCAGTGCAAAAAAAAATCCCAGCCTATCCAACCTCTCCTCATAAGTCAAACCTTCCAGTCCAGGTAGCAACACAGTAAATATATTCTGTACTTTTTCTAATCTGCTTGACCTATAGCAACTCCCCAAGGCTTCTCAAACAGCACTTTCCAAACATGGGACATCTACCACTGACAGGGTCAGGGGCAGCAAATGCATGAGAACAACACAGTCTGCAAGATTCCTTCAAAGCCACACGCTATCCCGGCTTGGAAGTATATTGCCGTTCCTTCACTTTCACTGGGTTAAAATCCTGGATCTCGTTCTCCAACACTGCTGAGAGGAATGTAACATTTCAAGAGGACAGCTCACCCCTACCATCCTGAGGGCAATGAATGCTGGCCTAGTCAGCGATACCTGCATTCATCAATTGAATATATATAAAAAAGCCTAAACTTCAGAAGTGATCACACACCTCACTGAACACTCAGTGGCTTTCCTGTCTGTGATTTGCAAATGTTGTCAAGTTAGGGTTATCTTCGTGGTGTGTGTTGAGACCTTTTGGAGCTAGCTGTATTAATTGGATATAGTTCACTTACAGCCAGCAGATAAAAGATAGCTTCAGCTGATTGCGCTGAGCAGATCTCAACTCATGCCTTAGAGGTGAAAAATCAATGAATTTACTCATTGCTTCAGCCCAGTTCCCACTGGCAGACTGATTGCACAGTTTCAACATTTGGCCTTCACTGCCAGGAACTGCATCGGATACAACTGATAATCCATCAAATAATTTTCTTTTCATTTGTATACAA